GAAGACCTTCGAGAATGAAACTTACTATACACAAGCTTGCAAGGCTCATCTTGACGGTGGACAATGCAAGACAGACATACGGTCACAAAGGAGAAGGCGGCCTTTTCAGTCTGGAATTAACCTCTACTGATGCCTTTGCAGCTGACACGCTGCACGCAGATATACAAACATCTTCTACAGATGGTTGACACCTCTATTAAGAGTCAGCAACAAGGACTGGAACATAGTTAATGGAACAAGAGCACAGTTACCACCTGAAAGCAGGGAAATGCTAATCCTGAAGAAAGAAAAAAGCAAATGAGTGCTTGTATTCATACAACCCTAAAGGCAAACTGCAAGACCAGATAACATTAGGATTTACTTTTCTTCCCATAGCAGACTCTCTTTTCAAAGTCTACATTACATGACCGAATAAAATACTAATTTGTTTTCTATTGCAATCGCCTGCCTCTGCCTCCCACTGGGCTATTTGATTTAGGATTTATTGGCTCTCTCAGCTGCCTCCTGCCATGCTAACTGATTCTCCATTACGAAGGGTTCAGATGATTTACCGCTGCAGATGATTTACCTGCTGGAAACTATCTTATGAGTTGAACACTGCTGTACTAATTAAATTACTTTGGTATCAATTCAAAGCAAAGGTGTCAGCAGAGATACATACCTGACGCACAAATCCTGTTTTTAGAAACGGCCTACATTTTAAATCAAACGCCTTTCTAATTCCTTAGTTTCATGTGCGAAGATCTCGTCTTCAAAAGATGCCGTAACCAACTTTCAAAGCAAAAACACAAATTAAGAAAAGCCGCTGCTCTTGCCCTGCTCCCCCCGCCTTGGCCTGCTCTGCGCCTTCAGCCCCTCCTCTGCTCCACCCCTCGTAACCACTTGCTCCCCGAGTTCCTTGCCCCTGCTGCCCACGTCCAGGTCTTGCCACATTCCAGTCGCTCTCTGCATCTGCCAGTTGGCTTTGAGTAAACAGGAAATGAAATCCTCTCTCGCCTCCCGTCTGGCTCCAGACATTCTCACTCTAACTCAAACCCGGGTCACTCCCGACAGCTCTACCACCCCCGCAGCACACAGCTGGATTCCTCTCTCCCTCTATGCCCCTCTCCCACTTACCTCTTTTGACTTTCATGCCATTGAATAACTTCCCCTGCTCGGCCTCTTATCACTGTTCTCTACCTCCCTCCTGGTGCTCTCACTGCTTTTAGCGAAAAGTTGGATTTTCTCCTTTCCTCCCTCCCTGCTCTCTACCTCAGTAATCTTGGCGACTCCAAACATTTGCCTTCTAACTGTGACCCCTCGACTGCGCTACTTTCTGACTTGCACTCCTTTATCTTCTCCAAGAGCCTCTGAGTTCCCTCTATCTCCTGTTTTCATTGCATTTCTGCTCTGCACCCCTGCTGCTTCTTCCCCAGCAATACTGGCCTGTAGAAAATGAAACTCAACATTGTTTAGGCCAAGTGATCCATACTGGATATAGGAACGTACACTATACATACCGCATGGGTGCTACAGAGCTAAAAGAAGCTACACATGATGATAGGAGTGTTGATGGAGACCTTTTTCTAGGTCCTCATTAAGACAATGTAGGGAAGCAATAAAAAAGCAAACAGAATGCTTAGGTACACAGCAGAGAGTGTGGAATTTAAATACAGGGAAGCTTAAGCTCTGCAATACACTAGTACAACCTCATCTAGAATACCGTGCGTTCACTTATTCCCCACCATACCACACAAAAAGATATGATAATGATAATCTTAGAAGGAATTCAAAAAATATCAACAAAAATTATTCCTAGCCTCAGGGGACTGTTGTATGCAGTCAGGTTGAGGGAGATAAAACTCTTCAGTCTAGAACAGATAAACGGGTATAAAATTTCTAAGGGGTATATTCATCCCAGAGGACTATTTCAAGGACATTGGGTCACTCTTGGAAACTTCATTCAGGACAGGGATTTCAGTCAGGACAGAGAATAGGTAACACTTCTTCACTCAAAAAGTAGAAGGTGTCTCGAACAGGCTTCCTAGTATGGTGGGTGATGCCTAGACTCA